ATCTGCTTACACCCACGGCATGGAGCAGGGGACATAATTCCACAGCCCCCATCCCAGAGGGGGTTACCAGGACTGGGGCAAACGCCACCCAGCCCACCAACTTGTATACAAAGTAGGTCAGCATTATGCAACATCTGCACACAAGCAGCTCCTCGGCGTTTCCCCAGGAGCAGCTCGCACGCAGCAGCAGGATGGATGCTGGGGTGCTGTGAGGCCAGGCACCAGGCATTGCTATGCGTCGCTCCTTTTGGTATCCAAAGGGGAGGTATGAGAAAGAAAGGGACAGACTATTTAACATGATCTGTCAGGATAGGGCAAGAGGAGATGGTTTCAAGCTAAAAGAGGGGAGAGATTTAGACTGGATGTAAGGAAAAAAGGTTGTTATAATCAGGGTGGTGAGGCACTGGGGCAGGATGCCAAGAAAAGCAGTGGATCCCTGCCCCTGGAGAAAAAAAGTCAGGCTGGAGGGGCTCTGAGCATCCTGATTGAGTTGTAGGTGTCCCTATTCACTGCAGGGGAGTTGGACCGATGGCCCTTAAAGGTCCCTTCTAACTCAAATGATTCTGTGATTTTAGGATTCTCTGCCTGCACGGCTGTGCATACAGTTTGCTGAGGCTTCTGAAGCCTGGGAGGGAGGAGGGACGGGCAAAGCTGCAGCATCTCTGTGTCCACAGTGCCCAAGACTCCCTCCCCTGCCCTTTACCTCAGCGCCTCAGGTTTCCCCAGCTCCACCACCTTTGATCAGCACAGGGCCCCTGAGTCACAGGGGGGGTTGAGGTTTAATCAAGCAGTGCTGGCCCATGGCTGTACAGAGAGCCACAGGTAGCTACAGACATCACCCAGCTGAACACAGCTCAGGCTCCACATCTGTCAGCTCCGCTGAGCTAAAGAGGGAGCAGAGTAGGGGAAAAAAGCCATGTGTGTTCATGCTGGGGCGATGCCAACACTGCTGTCAAATGGAGGCAAGCAGCCAGCATGGAGGCGAGGAGAGCTCTGAGCTGACCATTGCCAATAACAATGGCATCTCACGGGCCCCTCAGCCTCCATAAGCGCTTGTGGGTCACACCATGCGCGTGGAAGCCAACGCAGCACATTTATCTGGGCTGTTTTAGGTATTGCCTGGGCTCACAGCAATGTCCCTGCATGGTTCCTGCACACAGAACACCCGCCCTTGAGAACACCTCAGCTGCTCGGGGCACAGCTCACTGCAGCACAGGATGCAGGGGGACAGAGGACACAGCAGCCCACGCACAGGGACCAGCTTTCCAGGGGGAGGTGGCTTCTGTCTTTGTTTTCATCTTCAACCCACCTCAGCGCTCCTTCCTGTGACGTGCAGAGCCCCTGGGGCTCTTGCACCCAGCCCGCAGCTGCACCTGGCCCAGCGGGGACGCGTATGTAAAGCACAGGCTCTTTCACACACCGCTGACTTCCTCTTGCCAAGGACACAGCGAGGAGGATGGCCACGGCTTCAGTAGCTGCCTGCAAAGTCAGACATGCCATACAGCCCCTCGTGACGCCGTTAGCCCAAAGGGGACCTCAGCACCACAGCACGTGGCAGCCCCTCCTGGAGCCCGTGGGCCAGGAGCTGCTTGTTCGAGGGGGCTCTGAGCGAGGCATGTCACCCCCCAAGCCTCCTGCATGCCACTACTCCTGTGCTCCAGCTTGTCACATCCAAGCCAGCCCGAGGGGATCCATCCTGCCTCGCATCTCTGTGCCGTATTAATATTTAACGGTGAGGGAGAGAGAGCCAGAGACTTTGATTTCTCCCACCAGCCAGCTCAAGGACAACTCCGCAGCATAGGGAATTTCAGTGCTTCAGAAGGTGGGTTTGGGCTGGTTCACAACAGAACTCAACCATGTTGCATTGCCCCAGGAGAAGGGTGAACTCAATACTCCATGAGAAAGGCAGGAGCTTGGTTTTAGCCCCCTTGCCACAGGAACGGACACCGAGCAGCACTCCTTTACATCAGAATGATGGCAAACATCAAGCTCTGCTCATCAGGACAACACCAGCCCAGATTTGCAGCCCCAAGGACACCAAAATGCCATGCCAATGTCAACTCACTCCCACTGCAGAGGAGGCAGCTCCTGTTTCATGTGCAGTGCCAACAAGGCACAGTGAATTTTAACACACGTGCCCAGAGTCATGCAAGAGATCAGTTACAGAGACCAAGGGAGCCCAGGGTTTCTGGCTCCAGCTCTGGGCTGTGCCAGCTCTTGCTCTCTCTTGCATATGAATCCTTTTTCCCCCACCAGTGAAGGACAGCTGGTCAGTGAGCAGAAAGTGGCAGCTGATCAACAGCCAGCAGCGACATGGCACATCAGTGCAGGGTGGGAGGCAGAGAAGGCTCGGTGAGCAGGGGGAGCTGCCAGGTGACTTGAGCCAGCAGAAGGAAGAGCAGCTTGGGTCTGACCTGATCAGAGCCCTACAGAGCTTCTATAGTCAAGGAAGGTCAGAAACCCCACAGAAGGAAACACCTCCTGTGCTTTCATGCTCTTTCCAAGGCATGCAGCAGACCAGATACCTCTGCCACAGCTCTGCAACTCAGGGCAGCACAGCAGTCTTTCCCTGCCCCCCTATCCCAGCCAAGCCTCTGCCAACTGCAGATCTCATGAAGTAGAAACATTTGGGTTTAACCAAAGATCTCCAAAGCTAATACAAGAGCTGGCCTTGAATCTAAATCTCTACCATCAGTTTCAAGGTTTGGAGGGCAGGCAAATTGCCTGTGCTGGGTTTATCTCTGATTGCTGTTACAGGATAGAGATCATTTACTCCAGGCCCATAACAGTACACAGCTTCTTTCCCCTGGTAGCACAGACTGAACATACCATGTGTCTTATTATGCCTAAAAATTGGTCTGATTTAACTAATGCGGTTGCAAACCCAGCAGAAAAAAAAGCTTCTCTTGGAAAACCTGGGCCTACAGAGAGCTATAATCCAAGCAGCTAATGCTAACTGTGCCCATTTGTGCTAAAATCTCTTACCTCCATGTGCAGCTCAGCCAGCCGGGTGAGGACACAAAATCTTCCTCCCATGGGTCACACTGCAGCAGCAGACAAGTCCTCATTACAGCCTCACTCAGCGCTGCATGACCAAAGCTCACTTTAGTGCAACTGGTGTAAGCTCTTCTATGCTAATCAAACTGCTTTTACACTAATTTCACTGGCACACAACTCACAAAAATACATCCACAAAGTAAAGTAGGCAAAGTAGCAAAGCTCACAGGTACTTTTGCTAGAGAGAGGGAGATTTTTCATCGTAGACCTCCAAAGAAATAGGGAATTGAGGCACAGAAAGATAAAAAAAAAAAATCCAGAATATTTCTATTAGCTTAGGTTTCAGCTAGGCTGACAAAATCTTTTGTGATGTTTGAAGATGACAACAGAACCTAAGTGAGTAGCCTTAGCTCAATTCCAGGCACTCCAAATCTCTGTTCTGAATCCAAGTACTACTTTCACAAGGCCATTATCAGATATTAGCACTGGCTACTCCATCTAGATGGGGGGGTATCCTCAGCTGCCTTGTCTGCTCAGCATTGTTATGCCCTGCCTGAACTAATAGCTGACAGTTCCTAGAGGTATTTACACAGTTGTAGCTGTAGCTTTAGATGTGTCCCAACGACTTTCAGTTGTAAAACATGATGGACCTGAGACACAGTGTCATATTCTTAGATACGCTCCACTTCCCCTGCCAGCTCTATTAAAGACTTTTTCCTAAGAGTAAGAAAAATATTTGCCCCTAGGTGAAGTGAGACGTTGCTCTTAAGGAACTAGATTTTATTTTGTAGCAGCTTGGACTCAGCCACCTGTGGGCAGTACCAACAGTACCTCTCTGCTTAGGAAGTGGTAGAAGGAAATGCCGTATCTGATCCACTATGCTTGAAGGTGTTGGACAGCAATACATGGGGGTTGCTACAGGGGTGAACCAAAGAAATTTTCATTTTCACCAGTTAAAAAACAGATCTTACCCAAGCCCGGGAGTTTTCTGGGGGAGCCGGAGAACAGCCAAGGAGATGAAAGTCTCCTGACCTTACAGCAGTTGCAAAGAACACACAAGAATCACTCTTTTCTCATTTGGTGCCACAGGCCTTCCTCTCCTCCCCTCCCCTTACTGCACCTGTACACTGAGAGCAAATTGAAACCAGTCTATTCTGAAACACGGTCTCATTTATTCAGAGGAACCCAAAGTCAGAGTGAAGCTCAACCACCATAACCAACAGAGAAACTGGTGTTTCAGTCTCTGGTGGTAAAGTCCTCGCAGGCATTGGCAGGATTGCAAAGCTGAAAGTAGGGCAAGCCCATTAAGCTCCCCATCCTTCTTACATGGCCATGAGACTTCGCACATCTTTCTCCTCTGGGTTTTAGCCATAGTCCAGCCCTTTTGGACACCATAACACAGCTGAGCGGTTTAGCTCCTTTGTTCCAGCTGACAAACATCCTATCTCTCCCCTGCCAGCAACAATACAACTGGAGCTGGGATTTGTGTGTCCTCTGAGCAAGGATACAGGCTTTGCGTCTTGCTGAGCTGTCTTTGCAAGGACTGCCAACACTCACAGTTGATTAAGCCTGCAATGCTGCTCTCTCCTGCTCATAGACAGATGTCAGAAACAAGCTAAGCAAAACAGCACATGCAGCTACAGCTCTGCACCTAGGAACATTAAAGCAGACTATTAGGGATTAAGTTAAACTGCAGAAGAGCTTAACAGATCCTGTCAGAACTTAATTTCTACCTGGCATGCAATTCTGGATAAGAAACAGCCCAGTATTTCAAGAAACACCCTATTCTGTAAGGTGGTTCAATTCAGCTTACAGAAGCATCATATTTTGAAAGGTTTTGCCACCACCATGTGGCCGAAGCAGTGACTGCAGCCTACCAAGTCACAACTCACAGGATGTTAGAAATGCCAGCAAGGACCAGTTCCACTGCCTGGTCTAATTGGGAAAAGCATTCATAGGTTTTAAAGCCCGTCCCACAGACCTAAACAAAGAAATCATACCAATTAATATTATATATTTTATTAATTTAAAACTCCAAAACACACTACTGACTGTCAGTAAGAATAAGGCATGAATTACTGCTGATAGGAAGCTATTAGTTAAATAATTGCACACATCATATATCCAACTTGCAAGAGTCACCATGTGTTTTTCAGTATGCTGCTATAGTCCTGTTGGTTTTCTTCTCTGGTCAGCTGCAGAGTGCAGAGCCTCAGCCCTACAGATGCTGGAAGGAAGAATGCAGTCCTGCAGCTCTCTGAACCAAAACTGCCCAGTTTGCAGAGGCTTGCTGGAAGCTGGCAACTTCCATTATTCTCAGATTTGATTCTCTGGGAGCATGAGAGAGAAAAAAAACAAACAATTCTGTGGTTTTAATTTGGGAACAGGGGCTGATTTTCAGTAGTAACTGCATATTTCTCCTACTACGGCCTGTCTGTAAGGGCTGTATCCCAAATACTGCCACATCTATTACAGCCCTCCTCATTTCTTAACTCGCAGAAAGTTTGACATCTTCAGAAAAATCTCTCCTTGGTTTGCAGGAGCTGACTTGCAGCAGCACAGTTCACAGCTGTTCAAATCAAATTATTTTGTGCTTAAGAGATAAAGCCTTTTTCTCTGAAGATTTAAAAGAAAGCTAAAGTGCTAGATTATCTTCTTCAGTCCCTTCCTCCCTAGTTATGTGCCAGGCATGGAAATGCTGAGCCCCTCAGTGGGCAGATGCTCACACAGCTGGATCATTAACTGCCAATTGCAGCATATCTGGAAGCTGAAGGACTGCCTTTCTCCCTTGTTACTCTCTTGGTGAGGAAACAAAATCCGCAGTGAGGTTCTGCGTTAATCCAAGGTGCTACATTGCTGTTGAGAGGAAGCAGAAGCAAGCCTGCTGCCTCACCTGCTGCCTACAGAAATTAAGACACTCAACCATGATAAGCCACATCTGGGATTAGTTGCCTGTTTTACTGAGAGAATATCAGGAGAATATGTCATTCCTGGCCACTAGCAAAGCGGCTGAAATCCAAAACCCATCACACAGTGGCATTCAAATGTAACAACAGGTAGGGAACCCTAATTCAAACTATCCTCTCCTCACCTATACTTTATTCACTCAATAGGAATCATTTTTTTATTATTATTATTATTTTTTTTAAATAGACTAGCAACTACAAACAGCTCTGGATGAGTGGTTGTAACAAATCCAGCAAGAAAGCTTCCCAATGCAATTCCAACTGCAGCAGCTCAAATGCCTTGAAGTAAAGAAAAATGATGAATCTGGATAAATTCTCACATCAAGAGGCTAATCACCAGCAGAGTTCCTCATCAGCAAGCTGAAGTACATGGCAGAAACTCCTGGTACACGACCAGCACAGATCTGTAGCATCCGGAGAAGTCGCTGAGCAGTGGCAACTCGTATCCCTTCCAGCTGGAAGCAGAACAGAGAAGTTACTTAATAGGAAAAAAAAAAAAAAAAAGCAGTGATTAACTGTGATAAAAGAAAGAACTGGAACCAGCTCTAAGTATGATTCAGAGCTGCTAGTTACAGAAAACACCCATGAGATTCATTTACTCCCCGAATGCTAGAGGAAGGGCAGTTATGCCAGCTGAAAACCCTAAGAAAGTTTCAAGTGCTCAAACTCACTGATGCTGATTTGCTGAGAGAGGCAGCAGCAAACGGAAGGACAGCCAAAGGCACAAATATTATCTGCTGATAAGGAAGCAATCCCTGATGATGGAATGATTATTAAATGGAAAAGGGTGCAACTGCTGCGTGCCAACTCCTGTCAGCTTTTCAGACCAAGAGGATAACTGGAAAGAGTGGCAACTCATACTACAAAACAGCACGTGAAGCTACAAAGCCTGGCTAACAGGAGCACTGTGTGGGCAAGGACAAACAGCAAACATTTCCAGGGTTCCCAGAAAGAGAAAACGCTTTGAGGAACAAGTGTACCAAGGCTTTGCACATCAGAGAAGCTTTTCATAACTTAGGCTTGGTTTTCTGAGGCTTTGAAGTAGCACCAGAAGGTGCAGGAAATCTGTAAGACTCATTTCAAGGACAGTCAGACTCTTGTATTTATTCCTGCAGAAAGTCTGGTCTCTGACACCACTTACATGTGGCAACAGCATACGTATGTATATTTATTGCTAATGTAATGATGTTATGAAAGATCAGAGGGCAGCAGAATTCCCAAAATACCTTCCAACACCAAATAGGCACCTCACCTCCAGCTCACAGAATATCACAGGACTGCAGTAGTCTTCTCCCAGTTTCCAGATGGCACTCATCTCTACGCTGCAGTTGTTAACCCTGCCAACTACAGAAGTTTTCTGCATTACAAGCCCCATTATCAACATCCATTGAAGTACCAAGAAATTCTGCACGCACAAAACGACTCACAGCTAATTTTGACAGCATCATACAAGGTAAAGCAACAGCAAGCAGAACAAACAGAATGGTACAAGATGCACAGTGGAATTACCACAGAAGTCTTCCATAATACTGACAGCAGGAATAGTGTTGCCACATTACCGAGTACTGCAATGTTAACATTTGGGATAAGGGATCAGACGGTACTCTATCAGCAGGACAGAATCTTCCACTCGTTAATCAGAAGGCCTGACAGAGTATTCATGTCTCCAAGGGCCTCCCTCCATCAGGAGAACAACAGCACAAGACTACACTAAGGCTCTTTCTCACCCCTAAATTAGGCCTTCTGAATCCTAAATTCTAGGGACACAGCACCTCTTTTACAACGGCCAGCAAGATGTGCTGGCCCTCTCAGTTCCTCAGATCTATAGAGAAGTGATGCAGGAAAGTACCCTCTTCACTCAGGGGAGGGAGAGATAGAGAGCGAGACAAAGAGACAAAGAAAATTATATGAGACACAATGGGGCCAGACAGCACACAACAGGGATCACAGTCTCGTACTAAAAACCATACTTAATAGTTTAGTAGCTCATCCACTTAAATTCATTTTATTATCACAGCATCATATGCTCCTCACTGCTAATTGAGACTATCGTTAAGACTGATCTGCTGGAACAGATACAACAGCATTCTGGAATGGCACAGAAAAATAATTTTAAATTAACATCACAGTTCCTATTCAGGAATGAGAGAAAGGAGATCTGAATGGCAAAAGCAAAAAGGAAAGGGCAAGTGAGAGAAGAGAATCATGTTTTACCCGAGGAAAAAAAAAAAAAAAGCAAATGAGCTCAGATATATTCAAACAAAGCTTTGATAAATCTACTGGCTGCTTTTGTTCAGTTTCAAATTAAGCCACTCCTTTGCTTTAAGGAATGCAATAGTGAGCTGTTCTGCTCAGAGGGGAGGGACGGGGCAGATGCCATACGTACCCCCTGTGACAAGGAAGCACACTTTTCCCAGGAAGAATCTGACATCCACATAAGCTAGTGAAGCTTGAACATTCTTCAAGCTGTCAGAAAAGCACAGACAATCCAGTTGGACAGGGAGGTAAAACCAGCACAGCATGAGGACAAAAGGAATAACTTTCAGAAGCACAGTTGGAAAACCCGTGATGTTAACATCTGCTGATTTGTGAGCCAGCAGAATTATGCTAAGAGCATGGCATCAGGGACCTCTGGACTACCCACAGCTGTTTAATAACCCATAAAATATCCTTTCAACTCAAGACTCAACAGTTAGGCTTAGTTTGAATGGTGTCCTAAAAGGTTTGCGAACGCTAAGCGTCCAAACTCATTAACATCCAATGAGACTTCAGCACTCCTTAGGCTCTTTCAGAAAAGCAAACCCACACATTTCTGCAGCACCATCTGTGCTGTAAGCATGCAGCTGGGCCTGTCATTTTAGTAAATGAGAGCCCAGGATCATCAAAAGTTAAGTAAAAAGATGCTGACTTTCATGATCTAGCAAATCTTTGCTTATGGCCTGGGGACACAAATATGATTTCTACAAAGATGAGAGAAAAGACATCAGCCCCTGCAGATCTTTCCTTTCTGACTGGAGACTTACGTAGAGCTGATGCCACATGGTCAGCAGTGCCAGTGAAATGGGAAAACGGGCAGAGCAGCTGGCTGACTATTAGGTAGAGATGCTCTACCACAGCAAGTCTAGGGTTTAAAAATCCAGTGATTCCAACATAATAAAAGTGTAGATTTATGCATGAATTCAAGAAAGAATATCAGTTTGCTCCCTTGTATTTATGCCTTTCTTTTACCTGTATTTGCTCTTGATGTCAATAACAAATGCAATCAGATCTATCCTGGGCCGAAGGTGATCCCTCTCTGGAGGTAAGGGGAGGGATGACGCAAGGTGGCTGAAAGAAAATAAATTTGCCAGTTTAACAAATAGTTTGGCAAGGCAACATCCACTTAATCATAACACTGCAGCTCACCACATAGCACATAACCAGGAAGCCAGCTAACTGTGAAATAATTAGGCACCAAGGAGATATGGAGATTTTTTTGGATTCTCATCTCTCTCTTAAGCCTATTCTGAGCTGCTGGCAGCCACATACTTACTAATCCCAGATGTTTAATAATGGGAGGCTTAACATAAAAAGACTCCTAGAAAAAAAACTGTCCTTATAGATGTGTACAGCAGTCATAGCATTTAACTCTTAATAGACATTTCCAATTAAGCGAGCTCTGATGCTCCACAAATATATTTTGCTACACTCACTGCTTTCTCAAGTGAGAAATCAGATACGTATCGCTTGTATAGCTTTATAGGGGAAGTGCAACTGGGCGAGAGCTCAGTGCTCCCGTGATACCACTGCTCTTCCTTTCACTGCCTCAGAAGTTACAAGGATAGTTCAGGTGTTCTCTTACACCACAGTGCCACTGCTGATGCAGCTGTGGGAGGAAACACAGGGTTTGTATCCCTTCCAAAGGCATCTGTGGCGTACAGAGTATCACAGAATGGACAAGATTGGAAAGGATCGGGGAAGAATACTAACAGCACCACATTTTTTGGAAGATTATAAAAAAGATAGACTGGAAGAACAAAACTCCCAAGATTTCCATCTCTTTCTCAACATGCTTCATCACTAGAAGCCAAAAAAGAAACTGCTTTTGTCCTCCTTGGGGAGAGCCACTTGTAGCAATTAGTCTTAGAGACTGCAGTATTTATCCCAGTTTTCTTTTATCCACGCACAGTTTGTAGCTTTGTCTGCCAGTCTCTGAACGAAGGTGTTTTGTTTCCTATAAACAAGGAAGAAAACACTGAACAGAAGCATTCCAAAACAGCACAAGATATGAGCCAAGCGTGACTAAACGCATGCCGTAATACAAACATCACCACACACTGATGGTGATATCTAGGGAACAAGAAACATCAGGAGCTTCCAGACACGTGCTAAGAGGTGTCAGTGCGAGGGGACACAAAACCCTGCAACACCTGTAGGAAATGGGATGTGCAAGTGCCAATTACTTCCACCCCCGCTTCCAGTGACAACCAAACCTCTTTCCCAGAAAGCTGGCCGTACATCAGTGGGGCAGAACCACAAAAAGCGGACCAGCGCCACCCTTCCCCCCGCTCACTCACATGCTGATGTTGAAGTCCTTCTTCTCGCACAGCATGGCCTCGGCGAGCTGCTGCTGCGGGCCGCCCTCCGCGCCCACCAGCTGCGGGGCGACAGGCAGCGGTCACACGGGGTTAACTCATTTGCATACGGCAGCCCGGCGGCCTATCCCGGGATCATATCTGCATACAACGGCTCAACGAAGGGGGAGGAGGGGCGAGGCCACCGCCGCCGTCGCGGCCGAGGATATGCCCGCCGGGGGCTGAGCGCTGGGCCAGCTGGGCCGGGCCGAGCGGATCCCAACCGGACCGCAAAAGAGCTAGAGGACCGGGGACTCCCAGGGCACCGCAGACTTACCAGTATGGTGGCGCTGTTGAGCTCCGGCAGTTTATCGAAAGGCCGCAGCACCGCCATCCCCACCGCCGGCTGCGCGGCGATTTGAAAATGGCCGCCTCGTGTGACGTCACGCTGTGGGCGGCGCGGGGCGGCGCGGGCGTGCGCTCGGCGGGGAGCGCGCCGGTGACGTCAGCGGCGCTGGGGCTGCGGGCGTTGCGGGCGTACGGTGGGGCGAAGCCCGGGCTGCGTGGTGGCCGGCTTTGGTGAAAGGCTGGTTCCTCGTCCCTGGAGCTGTCCTTGCCCTGGGCTCCGTCCTGCTCTTTCTTGGCCGTCTCCGTGCCTCGCTCGGTGCTGCACACGCACTGCGTGCAAAACCGCGGCGGCCACGGAACTGTCATCGCAAGGAGGAGCTCAACAGTGAGGACGGGGCGTGCGGAAGCCTCGGTGCCGGCTCCCCTCCCTGCGCTGCTCGTCGCCCCGCGCCCCGCTCTGCAGAGCTCCCCGTGCGCAGAGACTGACACGGATACGCGGTCGCGTTTTCTCCTCCGATGAGCCCTGCAGGGGGCTGCGATGGAGGCTGGCATCACTCCTGCTTTGATCCTGACAAAGGCAGACGGCTCAGCTTGTCGCCAGCGCCGTGGCAGGTGAAGCAGAAGTGATGGCGGATATTTCTGGCTGCCGCAGCGGTCGGCGGGGGGAAGGGAGGCTGCGGTCAGGGCAGAGCTCTGCTTTCGGCCAGAACAGCGTTCACAGCGCGGTGATGGTTTGGTTGTTGCCGAGTGATGGAGGCATTTGCCAGGCCGGGAAGAGCCACTGCCTTTGTGGCATTGTAAAGCCACGGGGAGCTGGCCAGGGGAAGGACTCCTCGGGGGTTGCTGGGTGTCAGCTGGTGGGTGGTGAGACCTCACTATGCTGGCAGTCAGAGGACAGTTGTGTTGCTGCTGGTCAGCAGTCTGCAAGTGGTTGCATTGTGACTACATACATATACATATATATATATATATATATATATGTAGTTATCATTGCATATCTATTTCTATGTTCCTCTTCTGTGTTAATAAATAGTCTTTATCTCAACCTGCGAGTTCTATTCTGCTTCCAGTTCTCTCCCTCATGGAGAAGTGGGCCCATGAAAACTGAACGAGGTTCAATAAGGGCAAGTGCAGGGTGCTGCGCTTGGGTCAGGGCAATCCCAGGTATTTATACAAACTGGGGGAAGATCTCCTCGAGAGCAGTCCTGCAGAGAAGGACTTGGATGTCCTGGTAGATGAGAAGCTGGACATGAGCCAGCAGTGTGCACTTGCAGCCCAGAAGGCCAACTGTGTTCTGGGCTGCATTAAAGAAGGGGTGGCCAGGAGGAACAGGGAGGTGGTTGTCCCCCTCTACTCGGCTCTTGTGAGGCCCCATCTGCAGTACTGCATCCAGGCCTGGAGCCCCCAGTACAGGAAGGACGTGGAGCTCCTGGAGCGGGTCCAGAGGAGGGCACTAAGACGATCAGAGGGCTGGAGCACCTCTGCTATGAGGAAAAGTTGAGGGAACTGGACTTGTTTAGCTTGGAGAAGAGAAGGCTCCAGGGAGACCTCATAGTGACCTTCTAGTACTTGAAGGGAGCTTATAAACAGGAGGGGGAACGGCTGTTTATGAGGGTGGATTGTGACAGGACAAGGGGGAATGGTTTTAAACTGAGATAGGGAGGTTTAGGTTAGATATTAAGGGGAAGTTTTTCATGCAGAGGGTGGTGATGCACTGGAACAAGTTGCCCAAGGAGGCTGCGGATGCCCCATCCTTGGAGGCATTCAAGGCCAGGCTGGATATGGCTCTGGGCAGCCTGGTCTGCTGGTTGGAGACCCTGCACATAGCAGGGGGTTGAAACTAGATGATCACTGTGGTCCTTTTCAACCCAGGCCATTCTATGATTCTATGATTCTATCCCACCTGGGAGACAGTGTACAGCCGCATGGTGCTGAGCTGCTGCCAGGTTATGGCACAACTGCACGGTACCTGTGGACATCCAGGCAGCTCCCAGCAGCCCCACACTGCCAGCAGGGCTTTGTGGGACATGAGTACACTCATCAGGGTGCCCTTGCTCTCTCCCAGCAGGTGCAAGTGATGTAATTTGCTGCAAGTGCATGTTATTAGGGAAACTAATGACATTTGCACATATGTTGCTGGCAATTTCGACTTCCTTTGGCAAAGGCTCCCCCCGGCTGTCTTTAGACTCAGTATAAGTCAGCTTTTTCTGTTATGCTCTTTATTTTAAAGTGTACATTTCTGTGTCTTTTTGAACAACTCAGCAAAGCTTCCCAATGGGTTTCTTGACCTAAAGCCCCAGTGGCAGCCAGAGCTGGGGATTCTGTGCCTCTTGCTGGGGTTTTGTTCTCCACTGAGGAACCGGGGGGGGGGTGGAGGGTTTCCATTGGCACATAACAACAGGGAATATTTACCTGAGGTTTCCTGACCATTTCCTTTTTCTCCATTCAGGGTTTTTGCCAGAAAGCTCTGATATCAAATCTCTTGTGGATAAGGATGTGACTGCACAAAGACATTGAGGAAGCCAGGACTGGGAGCAGGCTGCCCAAGGAGGTGGTGGGATCACCATCAGTGGAGTTGCTCAAGAACCATGTGGATGTGGCACTGAGGGATATGGTTAGAGGGCGTGATGGGGGTGGGCTGACAATAGGACCAATGATGATCTTAGAGATTTTTTCCAGCCTTGAAGATTCAGTTGTTCTATAACCTGATCAGTTCTCCCAGAGTGCGTAGTTCCAGGCAGCATAGCCACTGCTGGGCTGCTCCAGCAGGCCCACACACAAGGATTCCTGTCTGGAGCCACTCTGTGGGCGCAGAGCGGGACAGTCTGTGTGTAGGTATGCCTGGGATATGCCAAGTGGCTTGTAGCAGCTGTACTCATAGTGAGAGCTGAGCTGCAGCTGCAGTGTTTCCATGTGGCTGAGCTGCACGTGGCACGTCAGTGCTTGCTTGTGGAGAAACCTCTGATGTGACAGCACCCGAGAAACAATCACAAGCAGCGAGCTGTTGCCACGGCACCTGAGGCATGACTCCACTGGCTGCACGGGGCTGCAGCGGGCAGAGGGATGGGAAGGAAGCCATGCACAGCCTTGCCTGATAGTGGTGCAGGACAGTGTGAGACGGTGAGCGGCAGTGTGTCACCTGTCATCGGTGCCAACAGGAACACGTGGGCCACGGGTTTCTTGAGGAGAGGGCTCACACCCCTTTGCACCTGAAATGCAATCTTCTGCAAAGTCAAACCTCGCCCCTCCTGGGATATACGGATCTGGGTGTGTACAGGCTCCGCTTCAGGGCTCGGATGGTGCTGTGGTGCTTATTAGTCCTCCAAACCCCACTGCAGAGGGCAGCAGGGCTGGAAAAAAAAAAATAAGGAAGAGAAAGCAAGCAGCTGGGTTGTTCCCATCTGCATCAAAGCTACTGCCAGACTGGGAATGGATTCATGCAGTCTCAGAACCGCTTCTGCCGTTATCCCAGTACCGGCTGCAGCGGGGCTGCTCCCAGCTCGGTGATGGATGCAATTGTCCCTCCTCCGGGTTTGGGGGGGGGGGAGAGGGAAGAGGGGGGCTCTGGGTGAGCCCCGAGCTCCCCGCGGGAGGAGGCTGCTGCTGTCCCCGCCTCCCGCTGCCGCCCCGCGCTCCGCTTCGCACCGGCCCCGGCAGAGGCAGCGCGGAGAGCGGCCCCGTTCATCCCGGGGGGAGCGGCCCCATCCCGCCGCCCGCGGCCGAGGGAGGAGGTAAGGGGGCGGGGGATGGGGGCGATGCATGGCAACGGGGTGCCCACCACTGGGCTGGGAGGGGGGGGGGGGGGAAGGAGTGCAAAGAACCCACTGCTGCCCATTTGTGCCCCCATCGCCTGCGTGCAGGAAGGCACATCTCTTCTGCGTGAGACTCGCTTCGGCACCGCTGCGTGTCCCATCTCTTGCAGATCCCTTTCCATGCCACTGCTTGCAGATAAGCCCCCCAGGGCTATGGCAGCTGTGGCGCTCTGTCTTTGAGAGGCTGCGGGCACCCCACAGGGATGCTAAGATGCACCAGTCTTACGATGGTTAAAGCACATTTAAAATCTGCAGAGCTGCTCCAGAAAGGTGACATCTTCTCAAATGAAAGTCCCTCTTTTGAGCACTTGAAAGCAGATGATCGTGGAAGAAAACTGGGATAAACGCTCAGAGATGGCAGCAAAATGGGGGGCAAAGCAAAACACTCTGAAAGCAAAAGAATATGGTATGAGGAACCAAAAGCTACTAAGCTCTCCTCTCCCATCATAGCAGAGAAGATACGTATCCAGAATCTATGCCAATAGGTGGGAGGGAATAGTTTTTTTTTTCCCTCTGATGCTGGCAATTTCTTGCTTATGTTAGCAAGAATCACAGCACATTTCAGATCTAACCCTGTGCCACAAAATTGTTCATCAGAGGGCAGAAATAGAAGTCACATTCACGTGCTTCCTGCTGGGAGCCTGGGAGCAGGGATGGGGACTTTTGCTGCCAATCAATTGAAAGCTGTGGTATTAAAAAAAAAAAAAAAAAAAAGCCCACAGACATAAGGTCCCAAGGGAACCAAAATGAGGCCCAGGCACATGATGGAATCAGAGAATCATAGAACCATACAAAGGTTTGGGTTGGAAGGGACCTCGAAGCCCATCTTGTTCCAAGCCCCTTCATTCACAGCTTTTCCGGGCAATCTGTTGCAGCATCGCATGGAGCATGAAGTGGGAGGCAGGAGGTGTGGTGGGACCCATTGCTTGTGGCGGAGCTGCTTTCTGGGTGCTCCACAAGCTGTCTTCCCTTTTCTCCAGCAGCCATGCCGCACTTCTTGGACTGGTTTGTGCCTGTGTACCTGATGATCTCCATTCTCATCCTGGTGGGCTTTGGAGCCTGTATTTACTACTTTGAGCCTGGCCTCCAGGAAGCCCACAAGTGGCGAACGCAGAGGCCGATCATGGAACGAGACCTTCGGAAGACGCTGATGATTCGGGACAACCTGGCCTTCGGGGTGCCCGAGGTCTGATGTGCCCACCAGGTGGATGGAAGGCCAGAGGTGGTGGGAGGGGACTTATACTCTGCTGATTTGGGTCTTCTGCTTGCCACTCACCCTCTGGCCCTATGCTCCTCAGGTTTGTACAGCATGGCAGGCTCAGAGCTTTCCATGAGCTCGTAGGCCATCTTCCAGCCAAGAGTTTTTGCTCCTCCCCAGGGATGATGTCACTTCTTGGAGCCATTCACACAAAGGGTCCCATGTTTGTCACCGGAGCTGGAGCTGCCTGGCTTCTTGGCACCACCCCAGGAGGTCTCTACAGGGGTAACAGGATAGGTGAAGCTCTGCCAAATAAGGGTTCAGCAAGATCCTGAGACCAACTCTGCTGAAGATGCTCTGCTTTTCTGTTGGGGTTTTGGAGATGGAGAACTTCAGAGCCTGGTGCTCACAGACTGATGTTTTCAGGAGCTCTGCCTTTGCGTTGAACATTGTTTCTGAAGAGGTTCATCCAAGTCCCGTGTCATGCAGTGCTGCTCTGCAGCTCTCCAGATCTGTCATGTAGACCTCTCCCAGTTGCCAACCCTTCTGCTCTCTGCCACTGCATGAAACAGGACACATCTCTGTGAGCTGCCTTCTTCAATGCAGTCTCCAGCTCTGTGCCGCTGTCGCTTGGCTGTCACTTTCAGCACAAGCTCAGCCATCCCTTCACCCACATGTCTCTGAGAAGGGACAACGCACTTCCCCTCTGTCTGGTTCATTGAATCAAGACAGGTCTCAAGCATTGGGCTGGAGTGAGTGAACAATATAAGCTTTGTAATTCTCTGGGGGTATGAGGCAATTTTTAGCTCTGAGGGTTTTGATTCAAGAAGGAATGGGTCAGGGCATCCTGTAAATATTGAGGTCTTTCAGGCATGTCTCATCCTCCCAGACTGGAGTAGTACCACTATTACCTTCCCCACCAACACTGGGTACCCCGGCAGGAGCTGTCAGTCTCCATTCCAAGCCAGAGAACTGAGACCCATTCAATTCAGACAAGCACTGGGAGTCTTGATGTGAGTCCCCTGGTTGGGTAGCCTCTCTCAGCAGGGAGATGGAGCCAGTGGGTTTACTCATGTGCCAAAATTTGTGCTCGCTATGCTGAGCAAAGGCTCAAAACACAGGTGCAGCCTCACACAGGTGCATTCCATGTTTGTTGTGCCTTGATTGCTTGGGGCTGGGAAAAGAACTGCACTGCATGGTACCAAGTGCCATCCTCAGTTTCATCAACCACATTCCTGCCCCAGCCTGCTGCCCTGCTCCATGCCATGATCTCTCCACAGCTCACTAAGTACTATTGTCAATAGACTCCACAGCAGAATAAAGGTGTGTGCAAACTGTGTGCCCACTGTGTTGTTTCCCTGCTGTTCTCCCTGGAGCTGCCTCTAGACAGTAGCTCTCAGTTTGGCTCCTTGAGAGCCCAGCAGCTCTGCATTGGCAGGGTTTCTGCTCTGGGCATGCAGGAGGGGTGTCTGGGAACAATTAAGCCAAAGGCAAATGCTTGCTGAAAGCTGAGACTGTCTGCTCGGTGAGAGCTGTGCAGAGAATTTGAGGCAGAGGGGAAGTCTCAGATACTGAATTAAGCTGCATAAAGCACTGGAGAAGACACTTAGTGCTGGAAAACACTGGGCAGCATTAAGTTGCTCCTCTCAAACATTTCACTCCCTGTTGCTGCGCAATGTATGGAAATCATAGAATCATTAAGGTTGGAAAGGATTTCTAAGATTATTAAGTGTCCATCCCCAACACATATCCAACCTGAACCTCTCCTGGAACAACTTGAGACCATCACCTCTCATTCTGTCACTGCTACCTGGAAGCAGAGGCCAACCCCCACCTCACCACAGCATCCTTTCAGGCTGTTGTAGAGAGGCTTTCAGGTAGTTGCAGTGAGTGCACTGCCCAAGCCTCTTTCCACGGGGTGATGGTGCCTCTCAGCCTCAGCCCCATCCCTCATTTCCTGCTACAGGGATACCACCAAACCCATCCATGTCTTTGGCCAAGGCCATGTGAAGGCGGTGGAGCGTTTGCACACCATTTGCTTCCTTGCTGAGGGCAGACATTGTTAAAAAGGAATTTGCCATTTGAAAATTAAGAAAAAAGAGATGTAAGGGAAAACATTTCAAAAATTCAAAGTGTTTTGCTATCTTTGGTAAATTGTGCTCGCTTTGCTTGAGAGCCAACCTGCCACCAGTGGCCCACAAGCACAGAGGCACTGCCAAGGAGGACACGGGGTTGTGTGTGGGTCTGCCCCACAGCACGGCCCGACTGCAGTGTCTCTGGGAATGGCGGGGGTGGGAGCAGCCGGACAGTGTGTGTGGGGGCACCCTGGGCAGGCCACAAGTGGCCCATTGTGGTGACTGGAGGCGGGCAATCAGACTGCCCAGGACGGCGGCGGAGAGGGCTCAGCTGCCCTCAGCCCTGTGGCGGGTTGGGGTTGGGACCCCAGCTGCCTCACCCTGCTGGGCCCAGCTGAGCTACGCCTTCGCGCCTCCACCTACAGCCCAACATGGATGAGGACGCCGCCTCGGCCCTCTGCCCTCCTGCCTCCAGGCTGGCTGGCCCCAGCCGCATCCCAGGCCCCATGCTGCGGCGGGCCGGCTCTCCCAGTGCTCCCACCCAGCGGAGCTGCCTCTGGGTCACTCTGCGGCAGGGGGCTGGGGGGGCTCCCTGGCATCGGCCACGAGCACCAGCCCCCATCACCCCCGTGGCCCCGTGCCCACGGCTCGTGTCAGGACATGGAGGGGCTGAGGTCACACCGGTGGAGAAGATGCCGGGCAGCGGGGACCCACGCAGTGGTAGGTGTGCGCTGGGGGGCATCAGGGATGCTGTGTGGGGCAATGTGAGGGCTTTGGGGGTTTCCCCCTCATCATGACAGAGCTGAGGGGCAGTGGAGAGCCAGGTGTGGGGGGTGTCTGGAGGGGAACCTTGTCTATCTGTGCGTCTGTCCCAAGTCAGCTGTACTGGGCATGCTTGTGAGGAATGCCACTGACCCTCAGAGCTGGGTGCTGGCATCACCCTGCCAAAATGTTGGTGCCCAGGCACAGCTTGGGGTGGCCACAGCACATGGTGGGGACCTTGGAGGAGGAAAAACAGAGGGAAAGGGCATCTTGCTCTGAAGCAGCCAAATGACCCACACGGCTCCCAGACACAACCAGCAGCACCTTGTGCATGTGTGTGCATGCATGTACACGCACACACGCACATGCACAGGGGATGGCTGTGTCTCTGCACTGGGGGCAGGCAGCCAGCAATTGCAGTGCCAAGGGAGGAGAGGTTTCTCACGCCTCTGCAAGCAGAGCTGAAGGGCAAATGGGTCTTAATGAGCTGTTCACAATTCCCGATTTCCCCTCTCTGTGAGGCCCTGCCATCCCCTAAAATAAAGAAATATCCAGGCGGGGAGCATGGTTTCTCAGCCACAAAGGGTTAAATACTCCCTCTGCAAACAGGCAGCTAAACTCAGGGATGCTCAGGAGGGAGAAGGTGATGTGGGGGGGGCCAGGGGGGGGTGGCTGCGCGAAGGCCCCCTCATGGTGCGTGGAGCCCATCTGTGGTGCTCCTTCATCCCCACTGCCGTGCCCACCCTGTGGGGAGCAGGAATGGAGCTCGGGAGGGAGCGCGGGCGGGGGGGGGATTTTGCAGCGATGTTTAATATTCAGGTCACATGACAGTGGCAGCAGGAGCAGCACCAGCATCTCCGCTCAGCTGAAATAGCCACTGGAGAAGGAGGGAAGGAGAGGGGGTAGAAGAGGACAGGAAAGAAGGAGAGAGGTAAAAGCGGAGTGTTGTAGCCCACCGTGCTGCGCCGACGTCAAGCTTAGGACAGTGGGGGCAGAGCCACCCCCTGGGGAGAGTGTTCGCAGACAAAAGAAGCTTCATGTTCAAAGGTAGGATGCTGCGGGCTGGCGGGGCTGGGCGATACCGGAGAGACACTCAGGCTTCTTGTGCCCCCGCGCTGCTGAGGATCAGTATCTCCAGAGGGCAGTGGGGGGAATCAGCTTTGTATTTTTCCTTCTCATCTTTCAATGGTAGCACCGAAGGAGCAGGAGTGGGCTTGGCGGTTGTGGTGCTGATGCAGAGTAGCTGTCGCCAGGGGCTGCTCTGAAAGACAGAGATAATCCCAGCTGGTCCAGGGCCGGGAAAACCCACGAGCTGCTCTGTCTCTGCCTTGTCCCTTGTCGTTGCCGGGGTGGTGGGGTGTTCTGTGCTGCTCCCCGGGCACCTATGTGGAAGCTGGTGGGTGGGCTGGGGATAGGCATCTCTGGTGGGATGGATGCCCCGGTCCTGGGATGCTCAGCATTCCCTTACCTTAGGGTACAGCTGAGGATATGCCAGCTTGTGCCAGCTCCTGCATCTCTGAAGAGGCTTCGGCACATGCTGCCCTAGATTTGGCTGCAGCCAAAGCCCTCTGCAGAGCAGTGAGGGCACATGGAGGAAGGCTGCTGCCAGCAAGGCTGCGTCAGCCCAAAATGCTGGGATAAGTTCCCCTGCCCAGCTTGAAATACCCTGTGATGCTCAGTCTGGGGAGCAGGGACACAGGTCTGGAGCCATATGGGTGGCAAAGGAGTGTGACACATCAGGGTCAGTGCCTCCAGTCAGGGCAGGAGGGCTGCAGCGAGGCCGTGGATGCGTGGGAGTGAAGCAGCTTTCCCGAGCTGAAAGCTAGGTTGTGGTGGTGGCCGCCTCCTTGCAGCCCCCCCCTCCCTCATGCCACTCAGACAAAGAACGGGAAGGCAGGGGGAGGGGATAAGGCTGTATGTAGGTTATCGGGGCTGCTCTGCCACAGGGCGTTGTGGATGGAGGTCCCAGTGTCTGAGCCCACAGCTGGTCTGCAGGGCCATTTCTGTCGCGGATGTTGTGCAGTAGTGGTGCCTCTTGCTGGCTGTGGCCTTCAGAGAGAGGTTTTGGGGTGGGTTGGCAGAGCTGACTGGAGCCTCCCTGGGCACCCACAGCTGCTCTTCTCCCTGCAAGCCCTGACTCCAGGTGCGCAGCTCTGCCTGCAGCCAGGGAGCCCATCGCTGCAGCCACCCTCTTAAATCAGCTCTGCTTAGCGCACAGAACAAAGCAGCAAGGAAATGGGTGGTAATGCAAACAGCGGATGTGAGTGGTTAACCTCGGCTAACCCTCTTTTCATCACAGCTGCACTGACCATAGCTCTCTGTCAATGGATACATTGGAGGGAATGGTCAGCAGGACTATGGGATGTGCCTGGGATGCATAATGCTACCCTTGACCATTCAGTCAGAGCTGTAATGAGGCTTAGCAACAGCATTAGCATTACAGCCCCTAAAGCAGAGCTGTCCCCAAGGGACAAGACAGGCACATTTTGTGGCTCGAGGTGCCCCACAGCTCTGGCTCCAGTCCCGCATGCCCTGACCTCCTGCTGGCTGGCCTTCAGTTGTCTCCTTGGATTCCTCCATAGGAGCCAAGAGATGGAAAATCATTGCACAAAGCCCTCAGGTATCCCATTGTAAAATGCAGGTTCCCATTTAGAGACTGTGTGGGAAGCACCCTACATGGAGGGAAAGGCAAGTGACTGAGAGAAAAGGGGTATTCTCTACCTTGAGGCCTTCTGACCCTGAAATCAGAACTCCTAGACCTACATCACTGATAAACAGTCCAGGAATTATTTAAGAAGACTTCTGGAGCTTTTTTTTCCTGATCCCAGGGCTTTTTATAGGTGCTATTGGAACCTGACTTGGAAATATATGCTCCAGCCACTTGAGCAGTGAAGGCTGCCTAGGGGTGGCAGGGTATTGCATTGTCCACAGCAGTCAGCAACAGCTGTGGGCAAAGTGTCCTTCAGTGCAGTGAGATTGAGGTATGGGTTATCAGCCTTATAGTGAGCCCTGATGGTGGCTGCCAGTTCCCTCCTTCCATCTCAACCCTCTCTGCCTTCTCCCAAACTCTGGGATAGGTGGGATCCCAATGCAGGCTGCTCTGGCAGACTTTGGCAACTTGTGGCCAGGAACAACAAGTGATGGCTCTTTTTCCCCTCTGCCTTTAGTCTCCTCCATAGTTATTCCAGCACTGAAAAGATACTGAGCAAAGCTGTGTGTGGGCACTGCAACATTTGGGGCATGGCCCAGTCATGTGAAGATAGTACAGATGGCACAGGACAGGCAGGAGAGGACAAGTGAAGGGTAGGGTAGCGAAGAGCTGGCTGACTCGTCTCTCCATGCAGCAGGGTTTTCTGGCTGGCAGCAGCTTTGAGAAAGCTGGAAAAAGACACGGAGAGCCTGAGGGGAGGCTCTGTCAGCAGGAGAGTACAGGTGAGCTGTGATGGCTGGGTTGTGAGAAGTGCTCAGATAGGCAGATCGCCTCCGCCAGCAGCGTGGGGTGTTCCCAATTGCCAGCCTGGCTTGGCCAGCACTCTCTCATGTGCCCTGGTCCCCCCCTGGTGCTGTTCCGTGGGGAGTAGAGGCAGGGGCATCCTCCAGCAGAGCTTGTTCAAGGCTGAGACTTTCAGGACCACCTATCCATGATCAAAATCTCCCCACTTTGCCCAGCTCCTGGCCTGTTATAGCTGAGCTCTCTCTCCCTGGTGCTGTCAGTGACCCCAAAATGGCAGTCACCTGCCTGGCCACTCGCTTGCTCTTCTGCAGCCAGTGGGATCTGCTGAGAGGAGCAAAAACAAACTCTGCTGAAATGATGGAAAGGGATAATTTAGTGTGAAATAGTTGTATGGAAGTAGCATCCAGAATAAGAGGAGTGCTTACCAAGCAAAAGAGCATGCTGTCTTTGTCCTGGAAAAATAACCATCTAATGAGATAAAGCATAGTAATTAGAGTGGGAGAAGCTCCAGTTTGCAGCTGCTTGTGTATGAAAGGTACTTGATTCCCATCCCCCTTTCATTTTTCTGTCCAGATCCATCCCTCATGCCTCCCTTCCCCACCAATAACAGCTTCCCTTTGTGCCTTGTCTTCTCCCAACCTCCAGCTTCTTTCTGAGGTGAGTGGGAGCTGCTCACTAATGAGGCAAGAGATGGAGATGAATGGCCAAGGCCTGTCCCACAATGTGTGTGCCATCACCTGAAAAAAAGTCAGGGAGGCTAGGAAGCCCTCAGAGCCTTTTTCTCTGCTGGTTTGTTTTTCATGGAAGAAGCAGGGAGGGGAGGGAGGACAAAACACAGTTTACTGGTAGGCATGACAAACCTCACTGATCTGCAGGCAGCAGGCAAGTGTGGAGGTTGTGGATCCTGGTGAGAACTGGGAGGCAAATCAAGCAGGGGACTCACACTGGTGCTCTAGCCCCTCATTAGGAGGAGCCTAGCCAACTTCACTAGGTGTGCTGCTGCTGTTTGGAGATAGCCATCAACATGTTCTATGCTCAAGGAGCCCTGCTTGTCCAGCTCCTCATCCACAGTGATACATAGAAGAATACGCTGGAAACTCACGTGGATGTTCCTCCATGAAGAGCCTTACTGCTAAAATCTTGCTGTCTTGTTCAACGGCTCAGCAGCCCTTGAAATGGACACTTAAAGCTACCTTCCACAGGGCAGCAGGGAGGTTCTAATCACACCTGACTGGTGATTTCTCAATCTTTCTCCCTGTGCAGGACCAGTGGAGAACAAAAACGAAGCAGCCATGTCTGAGCTAGTTCCAGAGTCACGACAAAAGCCAGTTGTGCCGATGAAACCCGTGGGCATTAATGCCAACTTACTGGGCTACATTGGAATTGACACCATCATTGAGCAGATGCGCAAGAAGACCATGAAGACAGGCTTCGACTTCAACATTATGGTTGTAGGTAGGAAGGGATTGGTGGAGGAACTGGGAACCATGGCTGGATGCACTCCCATGAGGCCAGGTGGGAGAGCAAGCCCTGAAGGGAGAGCATGAAGGATTAGACAATGCTCACTCACTCTGGGAAAATCATAGAGTCATTAAGGTTGGAAAAGACTACTAAGATCACCCAGTCCAACCATCAGCCCATCCACACCATGCCCTCTTACCATGTCCCTCAGTGCCACATCCATACAGCTCTTGAACACCTCCAGCGATGGTGACTGCACCACCTCCTTGGGCAGTCTGTTTCAATGCATCACCACTCTTTCAAAGAAAAAAAAATTTCTATTATCCAATCTGAAATGATACCCTGTACAAGACAGGGAGATACCTACAACACTTCTTCATTCTGGCTCTGTTCTTTCTGTCTGCTTCCATTGTTGGGCTGTGGCAGATGTTGTAAGCTTCCTCTTTGCAATTCTCAGGTCAAAGTGGGCTGGGAAAGTCTACGCTGGTGAACACCCTCTTCAAATCCCAAGTAAGCCGCAAATCTTCAGGCTGGAACCGGGAGGAGAAGATCCCCAAGACAGTGGAGATCAAAGCTATTGGACACGGTAAGAGCCAGCCTGCTGGGATGCAGGCGAGGCTGATGCTTCTGCCTGGTCATGCAGAAGAACCCAGTACTTTGCTGTAAGGCAGCCCTTTCTCCATGGGAAGCTGAAAGAGAAGTGCCAGGTTCAGGTGACCTCAGACATAGCCAAGGTTTTTCTTATGCAGTGGTGCATTCCACTGATGTCATAGACAAAAGCAAGAGGCAGAAAAAGTGTTAGAAGTATTTCCCTTTCCAAGACATTGGTGATTCCTATCTGCACACATTTAATGCTCTATACCACTGCACAGGGATGAGGGCAGGACACTCTTGTTCTCTTGTAAGACACCGAGACTCATGATGCAGCAGGTTCCCAGGGAGGCTTATGACGATTTGCAATTTCTTTCTCAGTTATTGAAGAAGGTGGGGTCAAAATGAAGCTGACAGTGATCGACACCCCGGGATTTGGAGACCAGATCAACAATGAGAACTGGTGAGTTTTACCTCATCAAGACCTTTATGTCCCATAAGGGGCTGCAGTTATGCCGATACATGAAGTGTTGCTCAGCTACTTACCATTGGAAAATGTCTGGGATCCTGTTGCACTCAGAGGTCAGTAATTGGGATGCAGAACTTTGAGCACCATGTGTTTACGTGTGTGCTCAAAGGTATGTGCACATTAAATAGTGAGTGCTTATTTCTACGCCTTAAAAACCTTGCCCTCACTCAAACACTAGGAAACACCTGCCCTCATTCTGTTCTCAACCCTTCACCCCCCAGTACAGGTAAAATGCAGTCATGCTGCCAGACCAACTCACTGCCATGGAACCAGGCAAAAAACTGTAATCTCCTTCTCAGACTGAATTTCACTGAATTCTACATGTGCTCCTTTAGCTGAAAATTGAGCTGTTCTGCCCAGAATCAGGCAACTCAAATTTTTCCAACATTTCTCACAGAGACTGGGCCCCAGCAGCCCCTGGCATGGCACCATCGGGTCTTTTCTCCCCTCTTCCACTGATTTAACTGCTGACTTCCATAGCAGTTTGCTCAGTTGGAAAACTGTTAAACATCTCTGCTGGTGGTGGGTTGTTGTTTTGTTTGTTTGTTTGTTTGGATTGTTTTGTTTTTCCTTAATGCCAACGTCTGCTTTAATGCTGTCAGAGCTGGGAACGCTGTAGGCAGGAATCTGAGGAGATTTGTACCTGTCTATTCACCTTTTTCTCCCACCTTAACAGCTGGGAGCCCATTGAGAAATACATCAACGAGCAATATGAAAAATTTTTGAAAGAGGAGGTGAATATTGCAAGGAAGAAACGAATTCCAGACACACGAGTGCACTGCTGCCTCTACTTCATCTCCCCCACGGGCCACTCGTACGTATACAGTTCCCTGTCCTTCCTCATCCCCTTCATGCCACTGTGGCAGATATACACCCTGTACTGCTCAGTCACAGTTGCAGGACCAGGATTCCTACCAGCTGGGCTGGATACTATTAGCTTAACTTTGCAGGGTTTGAAAGGGTCTGACAAAGGCAGGAGAAACACCATTGTGCTTTCTTTGGGAGTGGGCAGGATGGATGGGAACATGGAGGCCTCACAGATGCCCTGATGCTGGGAGAGTCACTGGAAGGGCAAGGAGGGTAAAGTGACCCCTTCCATGTTGTTCCTTCTTGGGCTGCAGCCTGCGGCCCTTGGACCTGGAGTTCATGAAACATCTCAGCAAAGTAGTGAACATCATCCCGGTTATTGCCAAGGCTGACACCATGACCTTGGAGGAGAAGACCGAATTCAAACAAAGAGTGAGTATTTCTCCTTCTGCATGGGATTCCTCCCTTCCCTGGCTGGGAGATGGGAGAGATGAGCCATATCCTTTCTGCTGGGACTGCAGTTCAGTCCCCAAGGCTCTCAGAGTCCAGTTTGGATTGGTGGGTAAGTCCTGGCACTGCCCTGAAGATGTAGCTGTCCATGGCTCTGAGATCGCATCTGTTAGAGGAGGAAGAACAGTGGGCATCCCTATGACATTCTATGATATGTTCTGTCATGGGAATTACAGAGCCAAACAAGCAGATGGGGCTGGGGAACAAAGACTTGTCACTGTTGCCATGTGTCCTTGCTTTGCACACCTGGAAGGGACAGTCCTTCCAGCCCTTCCCCACTGGAAAGATGTCCCAGATATGTCTGCCCAACCATCCTGCCTGCCTTCCCTTTAGGTTTGTGTTGCTTTGTGCTCCAAAATTTCTCTCTGCCCAGGTGCGCAAAGAGCTAGAAGTGAATGGGATCGAGTTTTACCCCCAGAAAGAATTTGATGAGGACTTGGAGGATAAAACAGAAAACGACAAAATCAGGGTAGGAAACATTTTATTGTGGGAGGGGAAAGGGTGGTTGAGGGCTGGTCAGATTTAATGAGGGAAAAAGATGTGTCACTAGGTTTTAAGTGCTTTGTGGTCCCTGAGTGAAAAGTGCAATGGACACAAGAGAATGCCATTCATCCTTCCTAGTTTAATTTGTCCCTGTCATGTCCACAGGGTGCTAGGAAGGCTGAGTGAGAAAGAAAGGACTCTACTTCGCCTCCTCTTGCTGAATGCCATTTGGCCTCTGCTAAGGACGAAAGGGACAAGCTCATTCCCTGTCCCAAACAACCTTCTCTTGAGCTCAGGCCAAACTCTACCTGAAAAGTAATTCAGTGCTTTGCCCTGCCAATTCCTATGAGAAGGGATATCTCATTATTCCTACCTCAGAAAGGTAGAAACCATCTAATTTCCAGCCTGTGTTTGTTCATGGACAGGTTGTACCCAGGATTATATGTGTTCTTGTGCCAACACTGACTCAAACATTTCTCCTACCTACTGGTCCCATCAGCTAGAGAACAATCTTATCCTGCACTGGCCTTTTTCTGGTCAGCTAAATGAGACAAGCTCCTTTGGTCGAGCTTTCATTCTCCCGTATTACATCACCACTTTTTTATGTGCCTACTCTAGTTTGATTTGATTTTCTGGCACTGGTGTGGGTACCCAATACTCCTCTGTCTTTTCTGAGATCTGAACTGCTGAGCCCTTGGACCACATGTGCTCTCTAAAAATCACATCACACTGGTGACTCGTGGTCATCTTGTGACTGACTGGCACATGGGGTCCTTCCCCTCCTTCCATCATTGCTTGTGCACAAACTCAAAAGTCATAGCAGAACTTGTTGGTATTCCCTAAATGCTATTCTTTGTGCCTCAAACTTACTTAGATTTTCCTGGATAATAACCCAGTCTGCCTCTGTACTGACAACACCTCCTGGCTTTGTGATGCTACTGCATTTAGTTAGTCCACTCATTATTTTTAGGGCTAAACTATTCATGGAAATATTGTCTTCCACATTAGTCGTCAAGAAACTCTAGCAGTAACTAACTGCCTGGCAGCCTGACACTTGCTCCTTCAAGCTCCCTAGCTGCCACAGCCCCAGCAGAAATTCCCACCTCCTCCAGATTCATTAATCATTTCCCATTTGGCAACACATCACACGCTCTGGGGAGACCAGATGGGTTTTGCTTCTCCTCCAAACTGTTACTGTTTGAGAGGAAGGCACCACAATTTGTTCTGTACTTCAGCCTAATTGCTTTGGGTTTGGTAGTCTCACATGTAAGAAATAAACTTAATAATAAAGAGTAAATAATAATAAAATATCCCACTCCTGTGGTAATTGCAATCCCTTCCCAGGTCCAGGGAAGTCTACAAAGCAGGATAAATCTATGAACAGCAGACAGCCTTATGGGTAGTAGAATCTCTCACAGTCTGTTCTCTGGAAGCAGGAACTTTCTCCCTGTGCATAAAGATATCTTGATCCACAGTAGTTTCACCTACTGTCCCACTTCCCAGGGTTTTCTGGCCTTCCTCAGTACAACCATTTCAGTAATTGAGCTTTGAATATTCATATGTTCTGTTGAGGGGATTGTGAGATTTTCTAGCGAAGAACTGCAAACTTGATGAGAAATACTCTCTGCAAGGTATTCCTGTGAGGAGCCCCAGGATGATAGACACTCACCTGGTATGCCAAAGCACCTCCTCTCTGGTCACCTTGCCCTTCAGAAATGCTGGAGATGTGTGCAGAAAAGCTTTACTCCCTTCTCTGGAGCCTTTGGCATTGATTTAAGGTACACACTAAGCCCAGGGGGTGCAAGAACACCAGTAAAGCAAGAGCCCAAAGTGCTATGGATAGCAATGATGAGTGGAGTTTTGCTGTGGAGAACCTCCTCCCTTGCAGAGGCTTTGCATTTGATGAGGTGCAAGGAGGAGAGGTGGCTAAGGAACAGTGATGGTGCTGCTCGGAACAGGTTTGATAGGCGTCTCCACATATCCTTCCCTAGCAGGAAAGCATGCCCTTTGCAGTAGTGGGCAGTGACAAGGAGTACCAAGTGAATGGCAAAAGAGTCCTGGGCAGGAAAACACCTTGGGGAATCATTGAAGGTAAGGAAAGTCTTGCTTTTGGGAGATAATAACAGGGTCCTGATAACATTTCCCATAGCTATTTTCCCATGCCTTTTGTCTTTGTGGTTGGTTTTTGTTTGTTTGTTTGTTTGTTTGAAACTGAGCAATAAGAGAACTCTCAAATTGCTCTGCTTGGAGAGAACTGCCATTGTCAATGTGCTACCACTATTGCTAACTGGCAGAACCATCCTCAACACCATGGGATGTGTGAAGCTGATCTCCTTGGTTTTCCTGTGAAAACCCACCTGTGACCACTCAGCATATCTGCTCAATGCCTGAGAGAGCTTGTCTGCTGTTCACACAACTGTCCATTCTTTCTGAAGCATGCCACCTGAAACACGCATGTCCCATAGCAATGACCATCCCATGCTCTGTAACCACAAACAGGTTACTGAAAAATCAAATGTAACATTTCCTTGCTTTCTTTTCAGTGGAAAACCTCACTCACTGTGAATTTGCCCTGCTTCGAGATTTTGTCATTAGGTAAGGCCACAGTCATGCCCATGATGTAGGGTTTTTAGTTAGGTACTATGGTTAGGTCATGGTTGGACTTGATGATCTTTGAGGTTTTTTCCAGCCTGAGTGATTCTATGATTCTATGATTCTCATCTCTTGATGAGAAGGGAATCTTCCTGAGACCCACTTAGAGTGAAATAGCCCTTATGGGAGGGAAGATAAAGCACTTTTCAGGCAGTAAAATCTTATGTGGGGCAGGGTTGGATTGATTTTAGGGGTATTACTCTAGTGCCTCTCTTGACCACTATGTCAAGTAGGTGCTGGTTTTCACGTATAATCTGGACACATCAAGAAACACAGGGTAATAGCACCCTTCTTTAATCCTATTAATTGCATTAGGTTCCAACAACTTCTAGTTGTTGCTGACATAGGTTTGGATTGAAGTCAGTGATAAAGAATCCACTACCCCATCCTAGACCATCTTTTCAGTGGTGCTGCCCAATGACAGGGTAGGGGGCACAGAGAGAGACTGTAGTCCATTTCCTGCATCCTGCCTACGCACACAGATATTCCATCTCTCTGTTGCATTATGGTACCTGTATAGGAAGAGGGTAAGTTTGCTAACCAGACTGACTGGAGAACTGACTGGAGAATACAGTGATGGACAGAAAGCTAACACTGATAGCACTGATGATGGTTATCATATCCTCTTTCACTTTGTCCCACGCAGGACTCACCTTCAGGACCTGAAAGAAGTGACCCACAACATCCACTATGAGACCTATAGGGCCAAGAGGCTGAATGACAATGGAGGGCTGCCCCCCATGACCTCTGAGACAGAGGAAAACCATGAAAGTAACCTGTGAATGACACCCCTGACATCACCCGGTGTCTCTGGATACGACAACCCACCCCTGCTACCCCTGGCTCTACCACGAGCCTGTCTCTGAAGCGTGTGGAGCATCCTTTGTGTGTGTGAGAGGGTGCGTGTGTGTGCGTGTGCCTACCTGTGTGCCAGAGGGGGACCAAAAGCATCTTCTCTGCCCTTCCCAAACTGTCCTCGTTCTCAGTTTGTATTTTGCACAGTGGACTGTCTGTCATCTTCCTTTCTCTCGTTGCTGTGTCTCGGCTGTGTGTCTTATCTGGGGGAAGTGGGGGTGGGGGAATAACTTATGGGGGCAAGAGGGCTTTGGAAGTGGGAGGTGTGGGGCATGCTGGGGTCCTGTTTTTATTCCTTGGGGATGTGGCATGGGAGACTCTGGGGCAGATGGCAGAGTTCTTTGTGGGTGGGAAGGTAGCTGACTGCTCAGGGAGGATGGTGGCACAGCATTTTATCTCCATTTTTTGCTGTGGCTTGCAAAGTGAAATGGCACCTTGGAAGTGAATAGATGGGAGAAGTGACAGATTGACAGGTTTTGTGGTTCAGGGAAAGTGAGTGGTAGAAGGAGGCAGGTTGTGAGCTGTAGCATCTATCTGAGAAACATCAAAGTAATTGGGGGAAAGAGCCATATTTTCCAGAATTAAAGAATAAAAGAACACCAAGATGTCTTCCTTGGTGTCCACTGGTGATGGGAACACAAGAAATACCTTCTCCTCACCAAAATATCTATGTTTGTCACTCCAGCAGCCCCAGCCTGTGCTAATCCCCTGCCCCTCATACAGCTCTCTTGCCTCCCATGTCCTCTCCTTTACTTTTGTCTTCACTCCCTTTTAACCCTCTATAGCTTTCTCCCTTTCTCTCCTTATCTCACTTTCTCTGCTCCCAACCCTTTCTGTCCTTCAAAATCTTCCCTTTTTGAGTCCTTTCCTCCTTCTCTGCATTCACCTCTTCCTTATCAACGTGCTTTTGTTGTGTTATACTGAAAAGCTGCTGTTTCACCTTCACTTGGAGGAAGCATGGAGAGAAGGTAAAAACCCATAAGGAGAAATATGCAGGGTTTTACTGGAGGCTAAATTATAGATTCATAGAATCGTTATAGTTGGCAAAGACCTCTAAGATCACTTTGTCCAATCATCAACTGACCACCACCGTGCCCACTAACCATGTCCACATGTGCCACGTCCACATGATTCTGGAACAACTCCAGGGAGGATGACTCTGAGAGGGCTCACAACTGCCCTGAGCACGGCAGTCTGCCCTCATCTAGAAAAAGCATGTACCCAGCTGCCAGGGGCTGCAGCCCAGGAGAACATCTGGTTGCATTAGCAGCGCACATGCAGAAGGTTATGGTGTGGGATGATAGTGCTGCAAGTACAGGGAAGTATGTGGGGTTGGGAGGAGGCTAGAAAGGCTGGCATGACTGAAGCAAAGCCTGAGGTTTGTGGACAGAGATGTTCAGGGCCAGGATGAGATTGATCCAAGCGTTGCGGAACCATCTAGAAGCTCGTGTTCGTATTGTGGCTTTCTGTGGTGCTGTCTTTGCAAAGCTAATGTCTCTTCCATCCCACTCCCATCCATCCACACACACCAGCTCTTCTCAGCACTGCCAGGACACGAAGGTCTTCTCAGCCTTTCTCATCCTTTTCCCCCACCACATTCATAGCATTCAGTGCTTCACGCAGCCTCGTACCCACTATCCCACCTCAGCACCAGGCTTCTTCAGCCTTGACAAGAACTTTGCTCCTCACTGCTATCTGCAGCCACCATACAGGCCTTGCAGAGGTCACGCTGCTACAGACACATCAGCCGTCATGGGGTAAGAGCCTCCCAGCTCATGCCATCAGCCAGCCACTTCAGCTCTCCACAATGTATCACTGGAGCATGATGGTCACCAGGCAAGAGATGTCCCTGTGTCATCTGCCATGATGGCAGACCCAGTCAGGGCATGGCAGAGAGCTGCAACTGCTGGCAGCAAAGCTGGAAGTGCTTCCATGCCTGAACCTTGGGCTGTGGGATGAAGGCCACATGGTTTGCTGTGTATGTGTAAGATTCTGGGGGGATTGGTTGTAATGAAGTGGTTTTGATGCTCTGCTCTGTAATTTCCTACAGTGAACTGTTTTTAAGAGATGCATAAAGGCCCACTGAGAAAAGCAAGCTTGGTGTCCTTCAATGCCACAGCAAACCCTACACAGACACAACCTCTTTGAGCGGGGCAGCACAGGGCAGGTGGGGAGATGCCTGCAGAAAGGCACAGACCCTGACTCACGAGTCAGGCCTATTCAAGGCCAACAGAGGCCCGTGGGCTCCTTGACAAGGTTCCACTCTCCAGAAGAAGAAAAAAAAAAAAAAGCATAAAAACACGCGAAAAACCCCACAACAAGCAGCTCCCTGAGGCCAGGCAGCCAGCAGAGAAGAACAGCACGCCTTCCACAGCGCCCGGATGTGACGTCACATAGAGTCATGCGGCGGAAGCGTCAGCGGGATGTGACGTCACACACAGGGGGTCAGGCGGCGGAAGCAGCGGCAGCCATGGCGCTCAATAGGCACCACTCGAAGGAAGGCGGTGTCGTCGTCCCCAATGCTGAGAGGTACCGGCGGGCGGGGGCGGACCCACGGCCACGGGGCCTTGTGCCAGGCCCGCGGGCGGGGAAAGGGTTCGGGTTGTTGCTGGGCTGCTCTGGGGGCGTTGGGGCCGCGTCTTGTCGTGGGTGGGTGGGTGGGTAGGTAGGGCTACCCGGCTGTGGTAGTCGCAGCCTGCGGCTCGTGCTGCTCGGGTTAAGGGGCGGTTTGAAGGGTGTTTGAGGTCTCCGGAGAGGGCTGTAGAAGTGGCGAAGGGCCTGGAGGGCAGGGCGTGTGGAGAGCGGCTGTGCTCCCCTGGTTGGCTCAGAGCAGAGCTGAGGGGAGGCCTGATGGCGGCTGCAGCTCTTCACAGGGAGAGGAGGGGCAGCGCTGAGCTCTGCTCTGTGTGACAGCGACGGGGCCCGAGGGAACGGCATGGAGCTGCGTCAGGGGAGGGGCGGCTGGGGGTCAGGGACAGGGCCAGAGGGCGGTGGGCACGGCCTCAGGTTGCCGGAGTACAAGAGGCTTCTGGTCCATGCTGTCTGGCATGGGGTCTGATTTTTGGGTAATCCAGTATGGAGCCAGGCCACGTAGAGCTCAGGTCTGAGAGCCCAAATTGTTCTCCAGGGCAGTGTTGAGCCATTGGCACTCAGCTGTCCTGTGACAGCCCCAGGTGGGTACAAACCAGCTCAGCAGCATAATCATGCACGGATGGCAGTCTTGCTATTTGTTTATGTGAGTGCTTGGGCAGGAGTAAGCATTAAGTGACCACATAAATTCTTCCCACTGAAGCAAACAAACCTGAAATTCTGCTATGTTATGTGGTTTGGGAAGTACTCTGGTAAGGTTCTGAGTGTTGAGGAGATAGTTTGGCTTATCTTGGGAGAATATTCCACCTTTGTAACTTGAAAATAGATTTCTGCTGCATTTGTCACTCCCAGGCATTGACAAAATCTGCATATAACTGAATGAT